GCCGAGTTCATTCAATCCTTTTTCTATACAAACCTAGTTTGAGTCATGCAGCGGCTCCAAACCACAGATCTAGGCTTCTTGGGCATGCTTATCACGTAAAGTTGTAAACTTTACGTGCATGCATAGCTTTAGAGGCTTCAAATGTCCAAACTAAGCTCTTAATGGGGTTCTGTAACGCCCGGGTTTTCAGGGCTAAGCATTTTTGTCAATGTAATAGTCTAGGTCAACTATTGTAACTCTTTTTGAAGTAATAAATATGAAATATTTGAGTATTATGTGAATTATGTGTGTTTATGTGTTTATTATTTAATTATAAATGTATAATTAATAAAGAATAAAAATGAGCGTCAAAATTAAAGTGTGAGATAATCCCGATATCTCTACATAAAGTTGTAGAATATGTCTCAAGGTTTCCGTGCATATAAAGAATGCCGAAATCCGAGCTATAAAGAAGAAGTTATGGCCCGCCGAAGTTTTACGACAAAACCGGCACGACATCGGGAGACGTAAATAGTGAATTTACGATAGAAGACTTTTTAGCCTTAGCAATCTAAACAAAAGTCGTAGAATATGTTAAACTAAGAACATCGATAAAAAGAACGCCCAAATCTGACTTCGTATGAAGAAGTTATGATTTTTCTAAGATTCGGCTTAGCAGTGCACGGCCTGAAACTCGAATTTTAGTTCGAGCCGTTGAAGATCTCATTAATAGGAAATCAATGGTAAAAAGACAGAAAAAACAGAGTCCGTATGTAGAAGTTATTAATTTTACGCAGACGTTTAACAGTATAATCTCCTTGTACTGTTAAATTTAAGATCGGTCGAGAATTAGCTGACGGTGTCAAAATGAAAGTTGTAGATCTTATTATTACCTACGCGTGGATATAAAGAACGTCAAAAACGGAGGTCGTATGTGAAAGGTACGGATTTTAGAAGTCGGAAGTGTGCTGTGCAAAAATGGGTGATGTGGCACAATCTTGGCCATTGCTTTCTCCCCAAGGCTTGCCACCAGATGGTGACATGTGGCACCAAGTTCAGCCACATTTCACCCTATAAATACCACCTCTCCCACCCTCATTTTCTTCACACCTTTCCCATTCTTTCTTCTCTTTACTCTCTCTCTCTCTAGAACCTCTCTCTAGCCCCGAAATCCCCCGAAAAGCCTAGGGAACCTCCCTAGCACGAGGCGGAAGCCCCGGAGTGCTCGAAGGCTCTGAGAAGAAGAGCTTTTCGGCTCGGGAACGCTGCTCCAAGCAAAGCCCGGTTTTCTATAAAACCCGCTGTAAGTGAGCTACGCCTACGCTATTTTTAATATAACTTTTATTTAATTATAGTAACGTTATTAGGAACTTATAATAAATACTTGGGCTATTATTATGGGTTATATAAGTATTTTTTTGACGCTTATATAATAATAATAATAATAGCTAGACTATTAATTAGTCTCGACGAATAATAAACTAAACTCTAGTGGTAATAATACTAGGTTTCGTCGAAGAAAAATTCTTTTTAAGAAGCGAAGCGCTGTCTGAGTTCGGAATCACCACCTTTTCCGGTGAGTGCATAGTTACCTTCAACTTACACATAGATATGAAGTATTTTATATAAATTACGTGCTATGTGTGCATATTATCTGAATACTTGCTATCTATGCTAGATGAACGTTGTTATACATGTTTTCAATGATTTAAACTGTATATGTATTTTATATCTACGAAAATGTTGGGGTAAAACATGGGTAGATGTAATAGGTGATGTGTGATAAAATGATGAGAGGCCTCGATGTTGTTGTTGTTGATCCAGTCATCTAGCGGAGTATAGATGACGACCACGGACTCTTCTAGACAGTCCAGTGGAACACTAGCAGGTCGCAACCTGTAGGTGTTGTGAACGATGTGTTCACCGGTGTACTCCATCCCCCACATGGTTGCCTATTAGGACATTTATTGCTGAGGAATCCCCTTAGCAGTAGTGTCCGTCCCGATGATGATCCTTAGGCTAGGTCCCTTATGATAGGTGTTTAGGGACGTAAAGTGAGGATAACGGGAACGGGTAATCGGGTTATTGTTGATTGATGAAATTAATAAACTTATTGTGGGTTGAAAACCCTATGTGCTCACCAGGCTCCCAAGCCTGACCCACTCAGTTTTATGCATTACAGGTAGTGGCGCATGAGCATAGGTGTGATGTTTTGGACGAGGGATTACGGATATAGGCCTGTAGATATGAAATAATGTAGTAAGGCTTATATTGTACTGTTTATACTTTTGATCTGTACGAACATGACATCCCGAGTCTTTTAATGAAATACATTTCTATGGAAATGCTTTTGATAAATCTTTATCATATTATTGTTTTGGGACAAATTCCGCAACCCTTTTATTAAAAGATAACTCTGATTTTGAAATAAAGTATAAACAAAACCGGTCTTTTCTGGCCGTGATTTTGGGGATGTCACAGTTGGTATCAGAGCATTAGTTTAAGCGAACTAGGAATTTGTAGGATTTCTAGACTTAAACTTAGAATGCTAAGCGATGATTGTGAGGTGTGAGCACTAGCTTATTTTAGGAATTGTGCCTAAAATGCTTTTATGTGCTAAATGTTTTATGCATGATATGCTGTTATTTTGTTCGGGATCTATGGTCTGTTGCCGACCGGATCTGGAACCTTATGTGTTTAGGATTCTAAACGTACGACTACGATATTAGAACTAGCATGTAAACGTTTCGGAGTGATAAGGACGATTTAAAACGTCTCTCCTAAATAAAGATCTAAATCCACCTTATTCGGTATATAGATCAAGATGGTAAGGACCCGTAGCGGAAACGTAAACGCAAATGGGAACGGACACCAACCCCCGTGATCGAGCAAATACCAGTTGTGGAAGCCGCTGCCGGACCAATAACGATGGCCGGAGTGCAAGCGATGATCCAGGCAATGTTGGATCGTCAAATGGAGGAAACCAGGCGTTTGCTCCAGCAAAATCGAGAGGAAGCGACTATTCAGCTCGAACAGCCCGAGTTGAACGAAGGGCAGACTGAAGAAGGAAACTACAGTGGGACTATTGGTCAAGCCAACCCACCGATAGTTAGGCAAAACCACCAGGATGGAGGAAATGATGGACGTGGATGCAAATACAAGGATTTCATGGCATCCAAGCCACCGAGTCTATCCGGAAGCCCGACGCCGGTGGAAGTCATGAACTGGATCTCTGAGATGGAGACAATGTTTGAGAGTTGCGAGTGTAGCAATAGGCAGAAGACTGCTCTTGCAGTTCCTCTATTGAAATCTGGAGTACTAAGCTGGTGGAAGCTATTAGCTGATTCAATGCCCAAAGGTGAAGCAAGCAAAATGTCGTGGGAGGATTTTCTGGTACAGTTGAAGATGCAATACTGCTCTGAGCAGGATCTTCTGGAGATCAGCAACGAATTCCAGAATCTGAAGAAGGGAAGAATGAGCGTTACTGAATACGCTGCAAGCTTTACTGAGAAAATGAAGCTTGTTCCTCACCTCGTCCCAACTGAACTCTCCAAGGTTAACAAATTTGCCCTCGGATTACCAGCGGACTTCGGTCCAATGGTCAAGCAAACTACCACTCTAAAAGCTGCCATCTGGGCTGCTAAGAATGTAGGAGACCCAGATACGAGAAAAGGGTCTGGAGAGAGCGGAAGTGGGAGAGAAACGGAAATTTGACGGATCCTCGAGGTCCGGTAAGAAAGGAGATTCTCGAAGTCTGGTTCGAGAGGAGGAGGATCAGAAGCAAAGTGGTGTGACAAGTGCAAGAGAAGCACTTTGGGAAGTGTGATGGAGGAGTCACTTGTTACAAATGCGGAAAGCCTGGGCACTATGCCAACGAATGCACCCTTAACCAGAAGGCCTGTTATGGGTGTAATGAAGAAGGGCACATTTTGAAGGACTGCCCGAAGAAGAAGGAGGCAGGAAGACCCAACATACCACCAAAGCCGAAGGCGAGAGCCTTCCAGATGACGCTCGAGGCTGCAAAGGAGGCAGCAGACGTCGCTTCAGGTACCTTTCTTGTAAATGGTTTACCTGCAAATATACTATTTGATTCCGGAGCCAATTACTCCTTTGTGTCGCATAAATTTAGTGGAAATTAGCATTACCTGTAGAAAAACTAGATAATGCCCTGATTGTAGAAGTTGCCAGTGGCAAATTCGTACCTGTTAGTAATCGTATTAGGAACATCGTCATTGACCTAAACGGAAACGAATTCCATGAGGAACTATTACCCATAGAGTTAAACGGTTTCGACATCGTTTTGGGTATGGATTGGCTTAGCGCCAACGATGCCGAGATATTATGCCGAAAGAAGATAGTTAGGATAAAACCACCCGGAAAGGAATCATTTTATGGTGTACGG